TTTTTACGGGTTTTTGACCTTTTGACCCCTTGCCTGATCACCTAGGTCAAAAATTTTTGCGGATTCGGATTCCTGAGGGTCGAAAACATATTTGCGCCCAGGTTTGATCGACAGAGGAAAAAATGGAGGTTCAGCCTTCATTTCAATGGACTAAATACATACAGTAATATTATATATATATTTTATGCCTATACATATTATTCTCCAAACGCAATTAGTAGCAAGATTCTATATATTTTAGTAATTAAGCAGTGTTTTTAAGTTAAAACGACTCGTCAAAGTAAAAAAATATTTCAGGTTAGGTATATATTTTTTTTACTGAAAATAGCAGTTAATTTACATTATCGGATTGTTAATGTGAAAATATAAACATTAGACTGTTGACTATTCCATGTTATACGTGTTTTAACGTCACTTTTGAAGAAGAAACTACATGTAATTTTAAAAACCGTATTTCTGTTTTTATAATGAAGGAATAATAATTATAAGATTGTTTAAGCTTATTTACTAAAAATTATTGCCTACTCAATAAAAAAATATTATTGTCCTCGATAATCTATTACTAATTAATAAAATATTTACTCTCTTTCCTTATAGGATTGTATGTACACAAATTGGAGCCGTTCCTGAAAAATCGGGCGAATATGGTTGCAGTGTAAATTATTAGACTTGAAGCGTTGGCCGCTAGAGCAGCATTTGCCGGGGTCCCGTTTCGTGACTCACGCTGGGCGATATTTTTTGTACAAAATCCCGTCCTTAATTAACTCAGCGGGATGACTTTGTACGAAAAAATGCTTAGGACATGATTTTGTTCGTAATAAAAATAGCTACAAAATGGCGGTGGTCCGATTACGAAGTTTGCAATAACAAAGCCGTGAGATTCAAAAAACCGTATAAAACGTCAATTTTTTAAAGTGGCTGTAAAAATGTCAATTATAAACAAAAAGTGATAAAACTTTCGAAAACTATAGTTCAATATATATATATAATAATTGACGTTTTATACCGTTTTTTCAATCTCACGGCTTTGTTATTACAAATTTCGTAATCGTACAACTGCCATTTTGTAGCTATTTTTATTACGAACAAAATCATGTCATAAGCATTTTTTCGTACAAAGTCATCCCGCTAAGTTATTTAAAGAAAACTACTAAAAATAATTTAAATAATTTGTTTCACTATTAATTGTTAATAACTTTTTTCCTGATAAAATACTTTGTTAGCAAATTAAAGTAGACCTGTGTAGTTATTTCCGGGTTATCAAGGTTTGACACAGGCCGAACCTCTACCAACTGGACTATACGAAAAAGTTCTATCTTCGCGTTTTCTTTTGTAAATTAAAGTTCATTTTTTATTCAACGAAAATGAAGGCCGACCCTGTGTTATTTATTAAAAACTTTGGAAATGTTTTTATGCGACCCGAGATGCAACCTTATAATTTAAGTCGGTATAATCTAATACTACTAAAAGAAGGTTAGGTTATATTGTCAAAAAATTTGTGCAGTAAACTGATTTTGTATTTGTATTGAATTCATTAGTCACTTAATTATTAAATATTAAGCATCGTCCATCGACCCATCAGTGTTAAAAAGTGAAAGATTCCAGACAAAAGTTTTTATTTTGTAATTTGTAGTGACAGTGTAATTTTTATAAAGAAGTAAAAAATAAGAACAGGGTACCGATTACATTAAAAATGAGATTCTTATTTCTTACTTTGCTTAATTTTTTAGTTCCTGCACAAACTAGACTTACAATGAACCGAGAAAACAATGCATTCACGATTTCCGAACGTGTTGATATTGTTATTGTGTTAGTGTATGGTGCAGCCGGAGAAAATGCGCTCGTGGCGACTAGGTTGTACCAGGAACGACGGCCACAACGTCACCCTCCATGTGCAAATACAATCCTACAGTGCGTTCAGCGGCCGCGAGATACAGGAAGTGTTATTCCTCGAGGAGAAGGGCGTGGTCAGCAAGTGAAGATGGAGTGTTAGAAAATCTAGACGAAGACACCACAATTAGTACTCGACGACTCGCACAGCAAATAGAAACCTCACCTCGTACGCATCTTAAGGCACCAGCTGTTGCACGCCTATCATCTGTAACCAGTTCAACCAATTTTACTCCCGGATTGTGATCAACGAATGCGTTTTTGCAGATAATTTTTACGGCAATGTACCAATCAAGCAGACTTTCCTGCTTATGTTTGTGTAACAGATGAGGCGACAGTTACCCGTGATGAAGTTAATTTCCATAATATGCACATATGGGCCGATGAAAATCCTCACGCGATTAGGGAAACTCATTTTCAACATCGGTTCTCAGTAAATGTTTGGGCTGGCATAATAGGCGATGTACTTGTAGGTCCCTATTTCTTTGAAGGACTACTAAATGGACCAACATATGCTAACTTTTTGGAGAACCGGTTGCCTGAATTATTGGACGATGCGGCATTACAAGTACGGGCACGCATGTTTTATCTTCAAGATAGGGTTCCTCCACACAGTACTTGAGAAGTAACGACACTTTTAAATGAAATGTTTCCTCAGCAATGGACTGGACGCTTTGGTCCTGTGCCGTGGCCATCTCGGTTACTCGATCTAACTCCAATGGACTCCAAGTGCTAAGTGGAGGAATTGCGAAACCGTATACTTGAAACTGCTGACACAATTAGGGGAATACCTGGAATTTGGGAAAATATTCACCAAAATTGGGTGCGTCGGTGCCATGCCTGTATCCGCGCTAATGGGGATCAATTTCAACATTTTCTCTAGAAATGGTAAGTTTTATTTCATTTTGTTCCATATTTTAATGGAGTTTGTTTAGTGCACGCTGTTGGCAACTACAGATGCTTACGGATGTAGTTTTGTTTGCGAACTCTTGCGGTAACAACAATGCATTTAAGATAGTAATTACTATTAATTATTATAATAAGAAAATATCATTTTTTTTAAATATCTATTTTTCTTAGTTTGTACTTTTGTATAGAAAAATTCCCCAAAAATTAAGAAATCTTTCTATCTTTCAACGATGATTTGTTTACGCGGCTGGTCTACAGCACGTAACTCATCGTACAGCATATGGACAGGACCGTTCCAGTGAAAATATTTTGATCCATAATTAACGTTAGGAAGCTGTAGTTTAATTGTTATAGACTGTTCACGCCACATCCTGTAGTTAAGAGTTATTTTTTATGAAAATAGTTTTGCTCAACGAAAAATCTCAGACAGAAGTAAAATAAATATATACCACCTTAGCAACCAAATCCTCTGTGTTATAAAAAAATACAAACCAAACTCTTAAGCACTTGCTTTTGAATGGCTTCTTATGGGTGACAAAACGTGTTACAGAGATATTTTTCCCGAAAAACTTAATGAAACATACAAAAATTTACATAACATCCGATCTGGTTGTATTAATGATTTTTGCATCTTTGGAAAAATCTACATAGGGGATTTTGAAAGCGTCACGGTGATATTACGACATGCCATAAAGGTGAGCAAGAAAATTTAGAAAGATTTGTTCGACTACCTTGTTCAGTCAAAATAATCGCGGTAGTCCTCTGAAAGAGCGTTCAAGTATAGTATAGTATGCACGATGTTCCATTAAAAAAATTAAGTTTGGTTTGCCACGTCTTTTGAAAATTTTCTGTATAAAATCCCCATCATTATTCTCATCATCAACAACACGAAATAATACACAGGCACACAAAATGAAAAGGTGGTCTGTTTTTTTGATCAGATCCTATTATTATTTTCTGACCCGCCGGAT